TAATCTCCAAACAATGCGTTATCTTTGCCTCTAACTCATTCTTGGCAGAAAATGGAGATAGAAACAAGGTTCAAGAGATACTATACCTTTGTACTGTGAATGTAGCAAAGGCAATCCTTGCCAAGCTCTATGCAACAATAACTGCCTAGTGCTCCTTGCAGCATCTCTTCTATGAACCAACATAACCTTACTGTGGGTAAAATCACATGTGACATTTTAGGAAAGGAAAGATCTCAACATTTAAGGTTTACCTCAGAAGCCATCAGAGAACTTTTCTACATCCGCTCAACTACACTGATCAGCAATTCCACAAACAATACAAGTATGAGTGTGGAAAAATGACACCATCATATCTCTGGATGCTTGCTTTAGCAAGGGAAATTATTACAATATACACTGGCAGATATTATCTATGCAGCTATCCACTACAAGATTCAAACAGATTTTCCTGTTGTCTGCGTATCACCAACAGACTTGTTACCAATAAAATTCTTACTAATGCATGAGCGAGAAGCCTGTTGATCAGCTTCTAGGAGTGAACTGTGGGACCTAGCAATAATTAATATGCTATAATTCCAATAATTATATGCTAATATCCAATAATTAATTTGGAGGGGGGAAACCCTCCAAAAATCTGCTCATATTTGAAACTGATAACTAGCACTTGTCCCATACCCCCAGATTTTTTGGTATTCAGGTTTCTGAGAATAGCACTTCAGCGCCAAGGAAACAAAATCAATCTCTCTTGGGAATTAACATATTGTAGAAGCAATAGATTCTTTTGTTATGAGACATACAGCATTTTTAAGAACATTCTGTGCTCTGAAAACAATTATTCATTATTCTTATTTTCCTTAGTATTTGCTTGTGGTATTCAATTTTATATTTTTTTAAAGTTATGCAAGATGAAAAAAAAATTAAACACAAAAAAAAAATCACCACCACCCCATCCCCACCCCCTGTGCTTAAGGCATTATCAAAAGCAGAGGTTTTGCTAGTTTAGAACATCTTTTAAGTGAATGTTTGAGCTCTCCTATATAGTTGAACAGAAATTCTGAGTAAATTCAGAAAGGTCAGTAAGGTAGACCCACAGGGCAGATTTTCAAAGCACCCAGATCCTACGTGTTTGGTTTTCCTGGCAAAATCAATGACACTGCACTAAGCACTTAAGCTGCAATGGGACATCTGGGAGTATGTTGCTGAAAATGGGATTATCAATTGCTGGAAAGCTGATCTTGAGCTACAAAAATATAAGGTAATGGGAAATGTTGAGAACTGCCTCTTTTCCTCTTAGGATTAAATGACTGCTTATGGATGTCTAAGAAATGCCAGCTTTCAGTTCCGATATACAACTCAGGAGTCCCTGAATTACATGCAAAAACATCTAAACAACTTTATGGAGAAATACAAGTCAGTGAAATCGCATACTGTAATCTCGTTTTAGATGAATTTTGTAGATTACATGTTAACTACCACTAAAATGTCTGTGTGTTTACGTTCCCATTCTCCCGCGTCCCTCCATGTCTTCCCTGCCATGAACTCTTTCATTCTGGTGTTTATCTGGTGCTACTCTGAGCTGCTTCATCTTCCCCATTCTGTAATAAAAGATCTCTCTCTGTCTCTCTGGCAGGAAACCATGTCTCAAATCTCATATAGACTTTCTTTCCCACTTTCATTCTATGCACTTGTGGGAGGAGAAGAAAATTAAATCTTTCCAAGAGCCAGCACAGTTGGAGACAGTCCAGCTGCTCCAGTGAAGTGGCTAGAGGGGTACATACTTTATCAGTAGTCTGAAATCTGAATTCAGTACTTCTTAGTCTGAAAACATTACAATCCACCTTTTCTTAATCACTCAAACGGTGAAACTTCTCCATCAACTCAAAATTGCACCAATACATTAAAAAATGTGAAAGGCTACCCTAACTAGATTATATGATTCCACAGGCTCATAAGTGAGGCCATCTGTCAACCAAAATAAAATCATTTAAAAAAAAAAAAAATGTATTTGTCAAAGTGGATTTAACTTACTTAACTAACTTAGACGCTTCTGAAAATTCGACCTGCATCACCAACACAAAGATGTGACAGAAAAATTATTATTTATACACAAAAGCATGCATGCAAGTAGATAACAGATTCTACTTTGAAGTTTATAAAATAACTCTATTTGAATAGTCTATGAACTTCATATTTATTTGATGCTCCCTCTTCCCTCTAATGGAACAAAGGCTTTTGAAATCCCAAACTAGTTTAAAAGAATTAAAGCAGATGAAAATTTTCTCAAGGACCAGCAGCTTGTGGGTTGACGTGGGGAACTATCTTTGCTTGGAACTATAACAAAAAAAGAGGTATTCTGACATACTGACAAATGCATTGTGTGGAATAATATCACAATATTCTGCACAATTGATTTATAAAAGGTTATGCTGAGTGCACATATACAAAATATACATATTAGAGCTGGCAAAGGATTTTGTTCAGTTGAATTGATATTACCACAAATCTCCTCTTCATCAGTTATTGTTTGTACTGACACCCAGTACGTCATTTGTAACGACTCCCTGCTTCTATCTGGCACTAGTGTTTGCCAGAGTGGCATTCAGACATCTCTGAATACCAAGGGCCACCCAGCAAACAAAGACTGTCCCAGAAAAGGGATAATCAAAGGAATATTTTAGGACTGTAATTAAATTGACAAAAAAATATTAATTACCTACACCATAGTTACTGCTGTACCTCTTTTTACCACATGCTTTTCCCAGTGCCTTTTCTGTTACAGTTGGTCTGGGTTGGTCTAGTTCTTCATTCCATACACAATTATTTACATCCATTCCTTTGCACAGGGTTATAAGAACTTAGGGAAGTTTCAAACTCTGGAAGTTTTAAATCTTGTAGGAAACAGCATAGACAGACGTGCCAAGATTCCACCAAATGTATCTTTTCATTAAAAATTACATCTGCTGATGGAACAGGCTTTACTGTTTGACAAATGAAAACTTTCATAAAAACTAAGTGAAACCTGAAGCAAAAGGCTGAGAAGACGATTGTATGATGTGTCTTCAGCTTATCAGATTCAAGGCTTAAAATAGATCTAATGGGGAAATAATGTCCAATTCCACAACTATGCTGAATGTGCATTCTAGAAGTGAAAAAGGAAAGAGAAGGTACATAATGATTTTCCTGACACTATGATTTGGAACCTCCTGATTGCCAAGAATGTGGTCTTACTAACAGCCACTACGTCACAACTCATAATAAATCCATTATACGCATGTATGCTTTTTCAGAAGTTACACAAAGGTGTTAGAAAACTTGCATTCTTGGTACCTCTGATATCAACATTTAAGACAGACAAAAGAGCACCTACGAAGTAAAATCCAAGGTGACAGTAGCTTGGAAGAAATCCAAATGTTCCTAACTACAGCAAATTTGTTAGTGTTCCTAAACAAAGCCAATGATCACTGGCAGAGTCAGACCTTCAGAAAAACTTAAATATGAAAATTGAGTCAGCATAAAAGTCAAATAACCTAGTACATACTCTTGTTTCAAACTTTCCCTTTTTAAAGGGAAAGCATAGCATAGCACTTCACAGTATTTCAATGTAGCAAATACAATTATTTGTTTGAAAAGCTTCACTACTCTGATTTTTGCCTCACTATGTGTGAAAGGAATATGACCACCATCTAAGCTGGTCTGTCATTTTCATACGGATAGATATCCACATCACAGCAACAGACAAAGGTACAGATACATATCAATAGAACACTAATTTTAAATGTCTAGAAAATCAGATTATCCTGAATGGTTAACATTATACATTCTAATGTAAAGTTAATGTATTAAGGCTACTACAATTCTAGATGCCATAAAATGGTTTCAGTAGAATGGTCACGTAAATTGAAAAGAAAACCGATGTCCCTGGAAATTGAGAAAAATTTTGCCCCTAGATGAGAAATTTCTTATCCAGTCATTGCATCTACCAGTCAAACATTTTTCTTCCTAGTTACGTGTCTTTAAAAGAGCAGGGACACAGGTCATTGCCAAATGCTAGCAAAATGAGAAAGCAGCTCTTCACAGATGAGTCTGAACCTGCCAGTTTGTGTAATCTGAATTATTTGTTCAAAGAGTTCTGTTCATCCATACTCTCCATTAGCAACAGAAATTGTAATTAAATTACAGAATGTAGGAAATGTATGGCCCTCACTGGTGCAATAGGTAGGTTTGCCTAGCACATAGTGGTAGAACTCATTAATCTGGGAGGAAAAAAAAAAAAAATAAAAACACACAGAATAAAATGTAGACATTCTCTATTCATCCACTTCGTTTGAGTACAGCACGAAAACTTGTTGATGTATAGCTTTGGTAACTGATTGCTTAGCACGGCTCTTAACAGATGTCACACACTGACGGAACAATGGAAAGGACTCAAAGATTTCTCAGTATGAATACAGAGAACCTATAGGCCTGTGTAACATGTGACACTCAGAAAAATTAATTCTAACTAATTTGTACAGTGGATTAGTTAAAAATCAAAATATTCCTTTGTCAAAATTCTCACCAGAAATTAAGAAGCATGTTTAACTTAGCTTAGGTTAATTCACTTTACTTGCAGGCCCGCAAGTGTTTAACATTGCTTAAGTGATCCCCTGTAAGACTCACACTTTTGGTAATTTAATTAAATTTACCTGAGTATCTAATTATGGACAAGACATTAAAAAGAAATGGCCATTAACTACCACTTCTCTGTAAAATATGAAGGATGTAACCTATCTAACTTCATTTAATCATAGACATCCTCAGTTAATGAATAAAGGCTCTGAAGTACTTGGTTGAAATGTAGTCTTGTATGAGTTTTGTTCAGCTGGGGGAGAAAGGAAAGGAAAGTCACCTCTTCTCTAGAGAAATGACCAAGTGAGTTATGTTTAGGCACATATCACTATATCTGCCAAAGAACATATACATAGGACATCAAAATAAACTTAAACTGCACACCTTTATGAAATGTTCAATTTTTATATTTACACTATAATTAGTACAAAATTGCCTTTTAAGTTTTCTTTAGCACAAGACAGTATCTACTGGACTTGATACCCTAATATGTCAAAACAACTACTTTTAAGTATGACAAAGTAATCTAGGAAGAGTTATAAAGAATAAGACACCATTTTCAAACTATACATAGTGTTTGCTTTTGCTTCTAAAAAGGTACTTGTGTCGCCAAAAGTTTTTTAGTTTTAAATAAGCAGGGCAGGAGGGGGGAGGGGGAGGAGGGGGAGGGAGAGGAGAAAGACTGGTTGTTCATACTAAAGCCTTTACTGTAATAAACTAAATATATTTACAATTTATACAAATGTTTGACCTTCAACAAAAATACAAAAACATATCACAAGATGCAAAATCAGGAAACAAGTTCAACTGAGACACCACTGCTCTACACAGGACAGAATGCAACTTGAACTGCAAGAAACAGAAAGGTATTTATCCCCCATATTCAGGCAATGAGAACAATTTGCATGAGGTCACAAAGAAAGAAAAAAATAAAAGGCTCCAACGTTCTTCAGTAGACTTGGCTTTTTAAAACTATCTCAAGAACCTAGGCTACATCTGTCCATCTTGCCTCTGTGTTCCATTTGGTCCACGAAGCCAATATTTAGTTGCTGGATGTTGCCTTCTATTTTGAAAAATCGGAGTAGTTTCATGGCAAGGTCTGGAAGCTCAATACTTTTGTTCCTTTTTAAAAGGCAAAACCTTTCTACTTCTACAATTTAGAACAATTTTGGCCCAGTTCAACTTCTAAAAGTTATATCCCCATCATAGTTTTCAGTAGATAACTTCATAGACTGTAGCCTTTTTGTCTCCAGAGCCCGTGACTATGTACTTATCATCCACAGAGATGTCACAGCTAAGCACTGATGAAGATTCTTTGGACTAGAAGAAAAACAGAAATATATTGCATCATTAAAAAAAAAAAAGTCTGCTACCCTCATGTCAACATCCCATTTTGGGTACATTGGATAGATCACATATGTTCACCTATGTGAGTCCACTCCTGGGATTCTGGGTATTCTATTTTTTTAATTTAAGAGCATCACCATCCTCACCTGGAAGATACTGGCTCCGTAAGGAGTTCTCCATGCATTGAGAAGGTTATCTTTCCCAGTACTCACAAACCATTTACCTAGAATATAAACCAGAAGGACTATCAAAACATATGAAACATATCTCATAGACTTTGGGTTTTCAACACACACCTACAGAATCTGTTAAACAATTACCATTCTAAAAGCCTGCATTACTAATCAACATAGTACTTTTGCTTACAATTGATGTAGACATTCATGCTTTTGCAGTGTATCAAATACTAGGATATCCACAGACTCTGCGAGCAGAAAAAGCTTTTTACACACAAATCAACCCTCACAGCAGCCTTTAGACAAACAGATGGTTGTCTGTAGAGAACTACACTTCAATTCATCTTCAGAAACATTTTTTCATAACTTAAGAAAATGAGATACTAGTTTGGATCATCAGATGAGCTATAATTATGTAATGGCTAATTGTCAAAAGCATGCACTGGAGCCCTGACCTCCAGTTCTGTGTTCAGGGCAACTTACCACAGTAAGCAAACTTGAGTGACAATACACAACTCTCATGAAGGTGCAGTTGATATTTGTCTGGTTTATTTACATGTAGCACTTCTACATTGCTGCTCTCCATTCCCACAGCTAGCCATTCACCAGTAGGACAATAACCAAGGGAAAATATCTGAAAATTAAATCAAATTTACACTTTTTTTTTTATTACAGATACACTTTTTTTTTTTTGCTCTGCAGTAGTTACAATGATTAGGAGAGGGAGAGAAGGGCCAAATAAAATTCATATAGTTCAATAGCAAGACTGCTGTTCAAAACTGAAGTGACTAATTAAGTCCTGATCTTACTTATTAACTTAGAAAAATAGTGAAAGACAGTAGTGTCAAGCTACCATTTTGTTCTGGAAGCTAAACATATGAAAGCTGCAAAACGCAGCCAAAAAGAAGAGAGGGAACAAACTGCCAGTTGCACTGGGCTCCATCTCAGCTTTCATCCCAAATGTTTCCTTCCACCGCATCCACTCCCCCGAAGCTGTAGGAAAATCCAGTTACCTGTGACGTGAAGTCATGCTGTTGTAACTGTCTCCCCTCTCTCAAGTCCCAGGATCTGACTGTATTATCCAAACCTCCTGTCCAGAGCTTGGTACCATCATTAGAAATGTCAATACAGCTGGCTCCATCTGTGTGGCCCTGGAATTGCCTGATAAAACAAACCAGATTGAATAATGATTTCCTGCCACAGCTTAAGGTAAACACTGTTGTGGTGTTAGTTTTGGACTCTGTATGTGTGTGTCATCTCTTCTGTATCTGCTGATGGGCAAAAATCAGCCCCTCCCTCTTACTATGAAATACAACAGTACTACAAAAACATTTTCCAGGTGTTACAGAAATGAATTGCATCATGGCAAAGTCAAATATTTCCTATCAGGTTTTGAAAAGGAAAAGAAAAGCTTGCAAGAACACTGAAGTACAGTATCTACATGTTCAAAAGCACTAAGGACAACTCAGATTAAAACAAGTGCTGAGGGAACAAAACTCCTCCAGTTTCAGAAAACAGCTTCTGTGTTTTTCTTTGGCTGCAAGTCAAGATGATAAACAAGAAGCAGAGATATTAATAGGAAGGGATCCAGATAGTTAAACACAAGCATTGCTGACTCAGCCAAGCTGCATTCTCTGTGGCAGGAGATCACAAAAATCTAAATTGTACAGTTTGTTTTAAAATCTTCTCACTAGTATTTCTCAGCTTTCAGCAACCAGAAGGTCATCTCAAGTTTTCCTTAATCCTTTGGCAAAAGCCGTCTGAGATTTCTGCATTTTTCATCAGCAATTAGCTTCAGGAAAGTCTTGTGCCTCAGTGTGAAAGGTGGAGGGCGAAGGGGGCAGGGAAAGACAACTAGCTTGGGGATGGAGAGTATGAATCACCAGGAGCTGCCACAGAAAGGTCATGCGGCACATTTTGTTTTGTAGCTCCGGTCTCAAAATTCCACGTTATCATTAGCAAGATCAGCCAGTAAGTGGTGGGAACATCTACAGCAATCATCCAAAAGGCAAGACAACCATAGATGGAGAGAATGCACCTTTCCAGAGACTAAACATACACAAGACGAACTGAAGATTTTGTAACTAAAATCTTCTTGGTTGACCTAAAAATTCAACAAAATGTAAAAGTTGCATACATATTAATATGCACATTAATTTAGGCTAATTATTGATATACAGGAAATTTAAGAGAGACACCGTGGACTAAGCAGACTCATCAGCTTTAGTGTTTGGAACATTTAAAATATCATATGCCTTCTCAGTTTAGGCTCTCTCTTCTCTTAGCATTGTAAGCCACCACTACTTTGGTAAACAAACCAAAAATACGTCTTCTAGTAAACCACACAGTCAGTTGCTAAGAGCCACAAATGGACCTCTCTTTATTCCTCTGTCATAGTACTGAAGCTGAATACTGACCTGTCAGACATTTCAGTCTTCTACTAATATGTTCATTAATCAAAGGTCTAACAAAAGATTTCAGAAGTTTTTTGACATTGGTATCCATTTACTACACTTTTTGCAACCCATTGTAAAAGTTTTATAGATCAATTTCTCCTCCAAAACTCAAATACCTTCCTCTCATGAATGAGCAAGCATCATTCCTTTATGCTTCCTAAAGAACTGAAATAATCCACACTTTCAACCACTTTTGTAAGATTTAATTTTATTACTTACCATTACTAAGTAAGAACTGAAAATTTTCTTTATTACTTAACTTGGCTTAAGACAACGGAAAAGAACAAACCTCAGAGAGTTCCCTAAAAAGCATGTCCAGGCTGCATCAATCACAAATCAGCAGAAATGCTTCGTGTAGAAACCTCCAGACAAACCCCAGCTAACTGAAACCAACAGTAACTTTTACACTGACTGAAGCAGGTTATGGAGCAACCCTTCAGTCCCCAAAAATGCATCTTCCAAGACTAGATTGAAGCTACTAAAACTAGGTTCTGCCCAAGTCATTGGAAACCGCATTCTTTGGATAAGAAATAGTATTTACTTTGCTGTCATGAACCACTATTCAGGGAGATAAACATTTATGCATCTGTCCAAAGAGCAACTTCTATTAATGCCTTCTGTTACCAAGTAATGCCTTACCTGACCAGTGTCTGATTGTGGAGATCCCACACTGCGATGTTCCCATCACTGCAGCAGGAAAAGCAGACCTTGGAATCAGGGCTGATAGCCAGAGCGTAGCAGGCAGGGGCTGAGGATGTCAGCTCTGCTTTTATACGAGGAGTTGGTGCTGCCAGGTCCCAGATGGATAATGTGCTGGCTTCACCACCAACTATGAGGGTGCATCCATCAGGTAGCAATTTACAAGAGCGGATGTAGTTATCTCTGTTCTGCACAACACAAATCACCCCAGTTACCTTAATACATGCCTGCCAATAATGACCACTAATATGATTCTGACTGCATCCAAGTTTTAAACAGTATGCTACTTTTTCCGTTACCAAGGTACTGGAGAGGAACCAGCAGATCCTAAAAGGTTTCAAGCACCTATTCCTCACCAGTAACCAGAAACTGCAACTGCAGAAATTAAACTGCAGACTCCAGTTGCCACAGTTTACTCTGT